ATTGTTGTTTGGCGGGTCCGGGCTGGGGATTCGAACCCGCCACCTTAGGTGTACGTGGCTGGCGCCTTAGCCGGTTGAGCTATAGGCGCTGAGCCCAAACTTGAACTCTTGAGCTGAAGCAGTTCTCTTGCCTCAGCCTCCCAAGTAGCTGGGACTACAGACACCCACCACAATGCCTGGCTGTATTTATTTATTTATTTAATTTTTTTGGACACAGAGTCTCAAGCTGTCGCCCTGGGTAGGGTGCCATGGCATTGCAGCTCACAGCAACCTCCAACTCCTTGGCATAAGCAATTCTCTTGCCTTAGCCTCCCAAGTAGCTGGGACTACAGGCGCCTGCCACAATGCCCAGCTATTTTTGTTGTTGCTGTTGTCATTGTTTTAGCTGGCCCAGGCCGGGTTCAAACACGCCTGCCTTAGAGTATGTGGCCGGTGTCCTACCTGCTGAGCTACGGGTACTGCCCTGCCTGGCTGTTTTTAGAGATGAGGTCTTACTCTGGCTTAGGCTGGTCTCGAATCTGTGAGCTCAGGTAATCTACCTGACTCAGCCTCACAGAGGCTGGGATTACAGGCTTGAGTCCCCATGCCCGGTCCATTGAACTGTTTTTAAGTGCACAGTTCAGTGGCATTAAGCACATTCACATTACTGTGCAACCGTCTCTACCCTCTACCTCCAGAATATTCTCAACTTCCCAAACTGAAACTCTGTCCTCAAGAATACTAACTCTCTGCCTGTCCCAAGCCCCTGGCACCCACCATTCTACTTTCTGTCTCTGTGACTGTGACAGCTCTAGGGGCCTCCTATGAGTGGAATAATACAAGATGTGTCCTTTTGTGTCTGGCTTCTCTCACTGAGCATCATGTCCTCAAGGTTCATTCACCTTGTATCCTGTGTCAGTTTCCTTCCTTTTAGAGGCTGAATAATATTCTCTTCTATTGCAATCACTTTTACTTCTCTGCTGTGGTGCATCTGCTCACATCCCATTGCTCAAATGTGGTCTGTTGCCAGCCTTGGTTTTGAGGGGAGGAGAAATAGACCGAATGGCAGAAGTTGCAGAGAATGTGCATCCACTCTCTTTGCACCCACCACACCAGGCACCAGGGAGTCAATTGAGCCAAAGGACACAGCCCATTATCACCCCAGCTCTGGAAACCCTGTGTGAAAATGATACCCTCCCCCTACCCACCAGACCATCTCATGGATCAGATGACAGAAGGACATCCCAGGCTCTCCCAGGGTGTGAGTGGATGCTTCCAGAGTCTATTGACTTCAGCAGGAACCTGTTCACCTCATTTTCTCCTCTGTTCCAGATGGAGACTGTCAAGCAGGGAGTGGATCAGAAGCTGCTGGAAGGTCAGGAGAAGCTGCATCAGATGTGGCTCAGCTGGAACCAGAAGCAGCTCAAGGGCACAGAAAAGGACCAGGAAACTAAGCCAGAGGTATTTGGGGAGTGATTTGGGACCCCTGATGTCACCCTCCACACCTCTGCCTCAGAGGCCTACCTGCCTAGGATGCTTTCCCCAGCCTCTCCTCCCATTAAGGGCTTTTAGGTTGTAATGTGACCTCATCTAGGGAGCCCACCTTAATTTCTGCTTTCAGTTTGGGTGCTGCTTTTGAATTGGAGAATACTGGGTAACAATTTATCTCAGCTTGTTATAGTGCTAAGCTATGTCTCAGTAACCTACAGTCTCAAATTCTCTCCCCAATCCCAGTGTTCCCTCCAGCCCTCCATATTCAACCCTAGGTCTGCTTACTAGCATTCTCTGGCCCCCTCCACTCTCTGCTAAGCATCAGCCCCTCGTGCTGTGTGCTGACAGGTCTTACCACCTGTACCGCCATGCACTTAAGCTCTCCTAAAACCCACACCTCACACAGCTCATTCTGACACAATTCACACAGCTCATTCTGAACGATACCCTTTCAGTCTTAACGTCTGCACTAACACTAGAGCATCTCAACCTCTCTGAGTCTCAGTTTCCACATCTGTAAACAGAATATAGGACATTCTGTAGGGTGGTTAAGATTAACTGGATTAGAGTGGCGCCTGTGGCTCAAGGAGTAGGGCACTGGCCTCATATACCAGGGGTGGCAGGTTCAAGCCCAGCCCCGGCCAAAAAACTGCAAAAAAAAAAAAAGATTAACTGAGTTAAACTTGTACATGAATATTCACAGTAGCAGGATTTGCAATAGCCAGTAAGTTGAAAACAGCCCACACACATCTGTCTGCCCACAGATGAATGGATGAACAAAGTGTGGCCTAATGGCACCCTCTGGACTATTACTTAGCCAGGAAAAGAAACAAGGCTCTCACACAGGCCACAATGTAGATGGACTTTGAAAACATCATGCTCGGCTCTGCGCCTATGGCTCAACCGGCTAAGGCGCCAGCCACGTACACCTAAGGTGGCGGGTTCAAATCCCCAGCCCGGACCCGCCAAACAACAATGATGGCTGCAACCAAAAAAAATGGCCGGGCGTTGTGGCAGGCGCCTGTGGTCCCAGCTACTTGGGAGGCTGAGGCAGGAGACTCGTTTGAGCCCAGGAATTGGAGGTTGCTGTGAGCTGTAATGCCACGGCACTCTGCCCAGGGGGACAGCTTGAGGCTCTGTCTTCAAAAAAAAAAAAAAAGAAAACATCATGCTCAGTGAGAAAAGTCTCATAGCATGTGGTTTCACTTATATGAGACATTCAGGACAGACAAATCGACAGAGGCAGAAACTGTCCCCAACAGCAGTCAGTCTCTCCTCCCCCAGCCCCTGGCACCCATGAATCCACTTCCCGTCTCTGTGGATCTGCCTGTTTGGACATTTCATATAAATGGAGTCTCACACTGTTTCCTTCTGTGTCTGGCTACTCTCACTGAGCACCGTGTCCTCAAGGTCCCTCTGCCCTGTAGCCTGTGTCAGAGCCTCCTTCCTTGTCATAGCTGACTGACAATTCCATGTGTGGATGGACCGAATTCAGTTCATTCATTCAACCAAAAGATGTTCTGGTTGTTTCTACTTCGGCTGTGCCCCTATGTACATGTCTTTGTGTGGATGTGTGTTTTCATTTCTCTTGGGCATGTTCTCACAAATGAGACTGCTGAGTCATTTGGTAATCCTGTGGTTTAACATTCTGAGGAACTGCCTGACTGCCTTCCCAAGTGATTGTACCACTAGCAGTGTCATATCAGTTCCAATTCCACATCATGTCCACCACGTAGTATCATCTGACTTTTTGATTCTAGGGGATCATCCTAGTGGGAGTGAAGTACAGTCTCCTTGGGGTTTTGATTTGCATTTTCCTAGTGACTCAAATGTGGAGTCCCTTGCTCTCTCCTTCTTGGTGTTTTGTCTATACCTTTTAGAAAATTTGGCTAATATATATTTCACTTAGTTTAAAACACAAAGAGTTGGGGCATGGTGGCTCATGCCTACAATCCCAGAATTTTGGGAAGCTGAGGCAGGAGGATTGGTTGATACTAGGAATTCAAGACCCTCTTTTTTTTTTTTTTTTTTTGCAGTTTTTGACCAGGGCTAGGTTTGAACCCACCACCTCTGGCATATGGGGCCAGTGCCCTACTCCTTTGAGCCACAGGCACCGCCCTCAAGATCCTCTCTTTACAAAAAATTTTAAAAATTAGCTAGGCATGATGGTGTGTACCTGTAGTCTCAGCTATTTGGGAGGCTGAGGCAGGAGGATGGCTTGAGCCCAGGAGTTTGAGGCAGCAGTGAGCTATGATTGCGCCACTGTACTCCAGCCTAGGCAACAGAGTGAAACTCATCTGAAAAACCCAAAAACCCCCTATGAGCCAGTATTCTGTGCCTCTGTGTTTGAGTTTTGCCTATGGAGTTTTCCCCAAGACTAGTGGTTGAACACCTGCCTTCTTTTCCCCCTGGCATTGGATCTGTTTGCTCTACCTGAAACAAATGGCTCTGATCAGCTTCACCCATCTCCGTTCTTAGCAGGTTGAGTCCCGGGCACTAGCCATGTTCCGGGACATTGCCCAGCAGCTACAGGCCACCTGTGTCTCCTTTGGATCCAGCATCCAGGGTCTGCCCACCAACATCAAGGACCAGGTGCAGCACGCTCGTCACCAGGTGGAAGACCTCCAAGCCACCTTCTCTGGCATCCACTCCTTCCAGGACCTGTCCAGTAGTGTCCTGACCCAGAGCCGAGAGCAGGTTGCCAAGGCCCGAGAGGCCATTGACCATGTAGTCGAGTATGTGGCCCAGAACACACCCATCATGTGGCTCGTGGGTCCTTTTGCCCCTGGAATCACTGAGAGAACCCCAGAAGAGAAGTAGCTGGGTGAGAGGAAAGGGCTTGGGGGGCTCTGTCCCTCTCTGGGGGGCTCACAGCAGCAGTGTATAGTCCTCATTTTGAACCAACTTTTTCTTTTTTTTTTTTTTTTTGAGACAGAGCCTCAAGCTGTCCCCCTTGGGTAGAGTGCCGTGGCATTACAGCTCACAGCAACCTCCAACTCCTGGGCTCAAGCGAGTCTCCTGCCTCCGCCTCCCAAGTAGCTGGGACCACAGGCGCCCGCCGCAACGCCCGGCTATTTTTTGGTTGCAGCCCTCATTGTTGTTTTTGGTGGGTCCGGGCTGGGGATTCGAACTCGCCACCTTAGGTGTACGTGGCTGGCGCCTTAGCCAGTTGAGCTATAGGCACCGAGCCTGAACCAACTTTTTCTAACCACTCCTCTCAGCTCCTCTTAGGTGCCAACTTGGGAAACTGAGGCTCTCAGTACTGGGACGTTGCATTCGCTGTAAGAGCAGACCAATTAAGAGGTTTTTCCTACTTCTGAGCTACCTCTTTTCAGTAAGGGAGATTCTTCCAGTTGCCAGGGAGAAATTGTGGCAACTGGAGTAAGGGAGTAGGAACAGGGCAAACAAAACAAACAAACAAAAAAAACTGGAATATCACCCAACTAACCAGTCCTTCATCCTTCCACCCCTCTGAGCTTGAAGGAAGCTTGTTCTGAGCCTCACCCCCATTGGTCAGAGGAGAGAAATTTCTGGAAAAAATATTTTTTATGGATGGTTCCAGAAAGTTCTTTTACTTCCTAAAAGTCACAAATGTAGTTATATCCCACTTCCTTTTCTACACCTAGATATCAGTCTTATAGCTAATGGACTTGAACTTTGGGTCTGAAAAGTGGGCCTCCTGGAAATGGGGTGGCTGCTGAGAAAAGATTCATTCTAGTGCAGAAAGGTCCTGTCTGGTGGACCTTGTCCAAACACGCTAGTGTTCAGTATTGCCTTAATAAATTTTACCTGCAGTTACTCACAGGCTTTGTGTGTGTGTATGTGTGTGTCTTAGTCCATTCCTGCTGCTATAACCGAAAATGCCTTAGGCTGGATAATTTATAAGCAACAGAAATTTATTGCTCACAGTTCTGGAGACTGGGAAGTCTTTTTTTTTTTTTGAGACGGAGCCTCAGGCTGTCCCCCTGGGTAGAGTGCCATAGCGTTACAGCTCACAGCAACCTCTAACTCCTGGGCTTAGGCGATTCTTTTGCCTCAGCCTCCAGAGTAGCTGGGACTACAGGCGCCTGCCACAGTGCCCGGCTATTTTTGTTGCAGTTTGGCCAGGGTCGGTTTGAATCCACCACCCTTGGTATATGGGGCTGGTGCCCTACCCACTGAGCAACAGGCACTGCCCAAGACTGGGAAGTCTTAAGATCGAGGCGCTGGCAGCCTGTGGGTCTGGTGATGGCCCTTCCTCATACTTAGATGGTGCCTTCTTGTTGTGTCTTCACATGGTAGAAGGGACAAGGTAACTTCTACCTCTTTAATGAGGACATTAATCCCATTCATGAGGAAAGAGCACTGATGACTTAACCACATTCCCCAAAGGCCCCACCTCCTAATACTATCAGATTAATGGCTCATTGCCTATAGCTCAAACATCTAGAGTACCAGTCACATACACCAGAGCTGGCAGGTTCAAATCCGGCCTGGGCCTGCTGAACAACAACTATAATCGGAAAAAAAAAAAAAAGCTGGGTGTTGTGGCAGGCGCCTGTAGTCCCAGGTACTTGGGAGGCTGAGGCAAGAGGATTGCTTAAGCCCAAGAATTTGAGGTTGCTGTGAGCTGTGACGCCATAGCACTACCCAAGGTGACAGCTTGAGACTCTGTCTCAAAACAAACAAAAAATATCAGATTAAGTATTAGGTCCCAACACTCAAACTATAAGAGTGTGTGTGTTTCCCCATCAGCAGAGTGATTCTAGGGTCCAGGTAGCCCTTCTCGGTTCCTTCCTTACTTTGCTCCCAAGGATATGAATGGGACTGGACAGTTGCTGCTGCGCTTACTCAGCCTCTGGTGCCTTAGACGAGAGCCATCTTGCTTGTCACTGATGCCCTCGTGGCTCATACCCACTCTTGAGTCTTTAAATTTGGGCCTAGACGCTGCCAGTAAGAGCAGGACACAAAATCATCTACCATTACTTAAAAAAAATTTCTTTTAGGCTCGGCGCCTATAGCTCAACCGGCTAAGGCGCCAGCCACGTACACCTAAGGTGGCGGGTTCGAATCCCCAGCCCGGACC